ATATATTTAGCCATATACTCATTCACATACTTCAAAGCAATGGGAATTTCCCTCAGGCTGGCACTCATCCCCATAAATTGACAGGAGATACATTATTCTTTATACTCTTGTCAACTCATCACTCAGCATATTATCAAAACAACTTACCCGAACACCGATTTCCTGTTCATCAACCTTCAGCTTTGGTGCCACATTAAGGAGCAGCAGGACTGAACTCATACAAACGTCGCCTGTATGAGGATCAAATTCTAACTTCTTTAACCCGAATTTATTTCAGAAACTAGCATCCAGTGGATTATCGATCTGGGCAGCGACTAACGTAATTCAAGTAACTCACATGTGTCTTGTGTAATCAATCAAAGAAGAATTAACGCAAAGATTAGCCTCCAGAATCCCATCTTGCGAGCAACTAAGCTGTCAAGAAAGTGGCTTCAGACTGTTGCACTTGTGGTAGTATCCCTCCACTCTTGTAGGAGTGCATGTACATGACATATTTTTAATGTAGTTGAGTACATGGTATTACGCAAGCACCCCCGTTTCTTCTTCTTCATTACTGACAGTCACATGGAGCACTAAACACTTTTTTTAACACTAACAAGGAGAAATACAAAAAAAAAAATTTTTTTTTAAAATAAGCTGTGAAAGGTAGGTAGATAGTTGTACCCCACCAGGACATCACACAAGCGATAAAAACCGGATGACACAAAGTGCTACTATGCAGATGAGGATCACCCTTGGAGAGGTCCCAGAAACCCCTTTCAGTCGTTAGGCCATAAAGGTAAAGGTGAAGTCGGGAGATGTGAACAAGCGTCGTTGCACACGGTTATAAACCATAAGTGCTCTGCCACCAGTACGGACAACATTTACCCAAGAGTATCACTATGGTACCCTTTTCCTAGAGGCTGGGTGAACCCCAGGAGCCGCCCGGTTTCGAACACCAACCGTGGGCTGCAGCAAGTCGCAGCTGGAGTTGAAAACGAGCTTCTTATCGACTGCGCTAACGCGGCCCCCGTAGGCCATATCTAGGCAAGGTCACGTCTATTTCGTGGCTATATTCATGGCCCCCGGCAGAAGCCAGGGTGGGGCTTCAAATAACAACAAATTGCATTCCACATGAGGACGACATTTTTATTTGGTTGCTTCACTTTCAATTCTTCGGCATACTTGAGGAAGTTTTGAGAGGCTTATCATTGCCGTCCTCAGTCCAGGTCCACGGTAGCACCCCTAGAGGTCCCGTTATGGGTCTCCAGAAAACAAAAATAAAGTTGTTGATTTGGGTACCTCCCGCTACAAGCATTAGACTGTTGCCAAAAATGTGTCTCACGCCCCAGTCCTTTTCGCGTGTGCCTGCTGAGCAGTGATACCAGGGTGCTATTCAGTAATCTTACTTAGACATTGGCCTGTGGACGGTATGGACTTATAACGTCATGTTAAGCTCTGAAAATTTAAAAACTTCCTTTATTAAATAAACTTTGAAATGATTCCCATTAGCAGGTAATATCTGATGAAAAAACCCACTCTGATGAAGTTAGAAAGTAATGTCTCTGCCACGTTCTCTGAGTCGGTGGATGTCAACACTGTTCTCTGGACCCACTCGAGCAACGAACACACGAACGAACAAACTTTATTTTTAGAGGGTTACAAATTAGACACGCAAACCCGTCTGACATTCGGCCCTTCTTAGCACTCATTTTTCAGAGTACCAATGCCTGAGCTAAGGTCAGAATATAGGCATTCTTCTTCTTTGTGAAAGACAGTGGACTAATCAGATGTAATGCCACTCTTTTGAATAACATTTAAGTTATAGAAATTTCACTCAAACCACTGGTTCTGTCCTGCCCTTCGGAGATATCTTCTGACAATCAAGGCATGATTTAACATCTGGCAATATGTCTCTTGTTATCCCAAGCGAAAAGTAGGGACATGAGATTCATTGTGTCGTCGAGCCAATTCCCATGTGTTCACAGAACGCTGTGTGTATGGCCCACCTGAAGGATTTGTTGCAGCAGGTAGTTTTGAGATATCAAGTTGACAGATATCTTGGGTGTTCCCCTCCCCTCCCCTTGATACAACTTGTATGTAGAAGTCACCCTTTGGCATGGTATTGTCAATCTTAGGCAACTTAGCTAAACATGCACTTAATGTAAGATCCTTTTTCTGTGCCATTTTTATTTCATCAGGCAATAGTCTTGAGTTTTGTTTTATTGGCCATCTCTCGAATGACCCCTGTGGCAATAGCAGCTATGTACTATGATACCTTTGGTTCAGATGAATGACGTATCTTATAGAAAAGATGGTAGAAAAAGTGCATTAGAAGCACAACTGCATTGATAAGGTCAGTAAAATTTGTGTACATACACTTTATTTTTATTTTTTTTTGCAACTGGTAAGATCAAGCACTCGGAATCCTAGTTGCACTCTAGTGCTCACCACCTTCACTAGTATACAGAGTAGACTCTACGAGCTCAGATACACTGCGCTTCATAACAATGTCCAGTGTCACACAAACAGACGTAACCACTCTGTTTACCAACACATTATATACCACAGATGGCCTTTGAATGTCAGTCCGTCTTGAATTTCATTCTTTAGATGCATTGCAGTTTGACATAATATCGCAGTATGTTCCTAATGGCTCTGTTTTGAATGCATCGGGATGATGAGAATTACTTTTACAATTCTTACAGTGAAGCATTTTCTAACCATGCCCCACAAACAATGATAGAACAAATCGAAAGAGAAAGCAAACTTAGATTCCTAGGTATCAGTTTAAATAAATGCCTGTTCTTTAGGGATCATATTGAGCCAGTTGCGACAAAATAAGCTTAGGCGTTGCAAACGCGCTTAACGGCTTCGCCTTAGGCACCAAGATGGGGCCTAGTTATACCTGCCTCTTCATGGGCCACCTCAAGCATCAAATACGTCATGCGTATACCGGTAGGCACCTTGAGCTCTGCAAGAGGTATTTCGATGACTGCATCGATATCACAGAAACGTCCCTACCTGAATTGCAAAACTGCATCCATTTTTTTCTCCAACTTCCATTTCAGCATCCCTTGTACTTTCAGCACCTTACCTTTCTGGATCTCACTGTCACCGTGGACTTTAAAGGCCTCAGCACCTCGGTATTCTTTAAGCCTACTGATTCCTCCCTCTTCCTGCAAGAGCCCCATTCCTTTCTCCCAGTTTCTACACCTCCGCAGACTATGCCAGGAGAACGACGACTTTCACAACAAGGCCATAGAAATGTTGGACTTCTTCCGGCTCTGATTTTATCCGGAATATGTCTTATCTGCTGCCTTTTACTGAGCACGGTCTATACATCGTGCTGATGCTCTTATTTTCAAGCCTAAACGTCATCACAACAGACCCATTTTCATACTTATCTACCACCCACACAACATCAGTGCTAAAAATATTATCCTCGAGTTTCTCTCCATCCTTAAGACTGACCCTACAACCAGCAAGATTTTCTCTGAATTTCCTCTAGTGCCCTACATGCATGACCAGAACCTCAAGGACATTCTAGTTAAGAGTCGGTTACGTCCTGCCTCAAAGTCCCACTTCGGGACGGTCTTATGCCACAGACCTGTATGCAGAACCTGTCTATATGCATTTCAGGGTACCAGTCTGGAATTTCCGAATGCCACCTTCGACATACGGGAAGCATTCTATTGCACGAGCCGCAATGTAATTTACGCCATCAACTGCAAGAGATATGGCATTAAACACACCGGGGAAACGGGGTTAGCACTGGCTGACAGGTTCAGACAACATCTTTTGGATGTGCAGAGCGGCGCCCTGAAACCAGTACCATTTCCTTTCAATTTCCAGGACCACCAAGGTGTCCACAACATGGAGGTAACAGCCATTAAATCTAGCTTATCCAGCGACAGTGTACGCAAGTCTCTTAAAAATTGCTTTATATACGTTTTGGAAACTCTTGCGGCCAGTGGACTAAACTGCCAACACAGCTTCATCGAAATTCCAGGGGGCAGAACTGCCTACACAGTTTCATCTTATCCTCGAGTGACGGATGCACAAAATATATTCAAAATATTCAAGGGACAAAATATCAGAGATAAAAGTGAATATTTCGCTCTGGTGTGCAATACACAGAAAACATGGGGATGGGAGACTGAATCGGGGTGGGGTGCTTAGTCTTACACATTTTGGGGGATCGGGGATGGGGGTTTAGGTTGAGATCCTGCATATCGGACAACATGAGAAAGTAACAATTCACTGCAATCAAGGCAAGAAGCACCCACAGCGGCTCATATGCTGATCGGCGGTGATCGTGCGTTTGAATCTGTATTTTTAAAATTGTGTTTATGCCATGATTTTAAACCCCTATAGTAGAAGAGACATTTCCCGTTGCTGTAGTCAACATATAGATAGATGGAATAACTGAGGCCGCAAATACCAGTATCTAAGCAGTACATACAAAGGATTGCATCTGATACCTCTTTAAAATCTCACCCTGAAGTTCAACAGAGGATTAAAGAAAAAGAAGCAGCATCGTACAAAAAAAAAAAAAAAAAAAAACTGGGTTCAAATCAATGGTCTATGAAACGATCAAAGCAGGCGTACCATTGACAAGATGGTTTATAAAGTAAGGACTAGTCTAAACATTTAGAGATGACACAATATACTTAGAACACCTCATGCCAGATAATAAGTTCTTTATTTATATTTACATGGAGGGAGCTTGTTATTGTGTTCACACTGAATACGTCTTTCGTTTCATGTATGTGTTTATTTCTTCTTTTTTTTTTACGCTGGCTTTTGCAACGTTTTTGATAAAATATAAATTTATTTAATTAAATGTAGTAAACTTCTGTTTCTCTTCTTCTGTGTTAAACGATCCTAACTTCGCCAAGGACAACAACAATAGCAACAGCAACAAATTAAACAGTCATCTTGCATCGGCTTATCGATACATTTCCAGACTGCATCATAGAAAAAAGCCATAATGGGCACATGTCTCTGCAGTAGAAAGATTATTTATGGTGTTTATTACGCCCTGTTAATTTATTACAGTTGAAACACACCATGCTCATGAACGTTACCCTAAACTTTGAACTCATGCTCAAATATATAAAGATGTTAACACCGGCGTTGATCGATTCCAGATGAAATAAAATTGAAAAAATTGCAATTATCAAATTCCTTTGAACTCCATCGATACGTAAATCGGAATCTAACAACATGTAAACAAAAACAGCTGCTCCGGGGAAGTAACAAATAATGAATATAGTAGATATTAGTACCACCATTTTGACAACCTTACTGTCTCTGTCAGCTACGACAGTTTTGGCAGTAGACGTGGTAGCTTGTCGACGCCATTTTGATTTCTTTCGTAAGGTTAAGACCAGAATTGCTGTGCAGATTGCCACCGTGATAAACGCCAATGTTGGGATTGTGTTGTTTGTCATGAATCCGATGGTCTCTATTTTGTTGCGTTCCTCTAAAAAGGATATTCCAAACAAGGTCCTGTTTTTTAATGTGTCAAATATTATGGCTGGTCGAGCAGTGTAGAACATTGGACAAGCGCATGCCAGCATTAACACATAGACAACAATAAGATACAGCACTGTCCTCTTGGGAGTGAACAAATTCTTGACTCTCAGCGGCGCAGTAACACAGAGACATCTCTCTAACGTGATGTAAGCGGTTATCCAAGTGCTGACTCTGGTGAATATTAGATGACACCAGGACACAATATACGACACGTCACTGCCGACAAACGGGAGGTCCAAAGCCGTAAAAGCTGGCATGAAGGAGATATTTGTATAAAACAACGTAATCAAGGAACCCAGGTCTGAAGTGGCCAAGCCCAGTAGGCTTATGTTGACAGTGTCACGGACGCCCTGTTTAGAAAAGATGATTATGTTTAGAATATTTGTAATTATTCCAAGAATGCACACTGCTAGGGCCGGACCCCAGAAGTTGACTAAGAGAAAATAGTAGAGAGCTTCATCGGTTAACAGTACCTGCCTTGTAGAAGTTTTCATAAGATGTTTGTGAATTTCACTGTTGGCGAATGTTGTTAGATTTTGGTCAAACATGACGATGAAATACTCAGGTGACTTGGGATGTAAGTTTTTTTTGTTTTGTTTATGGGGTTGTGGGGGAGGGGGGGGGGAAGGGGGGGGGGAATTCCAGCTGTATATTTACATGTTCAACTTAAATATTGTATTGCAGGTGTAAACCAGATGTGCACGCAAAGCTCGAATTCTGGAATGAAACTAAAGTTATGAAATGAGCGAACAACCAGAACCTTCCTTCTGAGTTTAATTCTTGTGAACGAAAAGAAAGAATATATATACAAAGCTTTTTTTTTAGACCACTATTTGTAGATTATGTGCGCACCACTGCTGTCTTTAAGATTATTAAGTGTCGAGGCACTAATCTCTTCCACAGTGTGACTCTCGTACAACAGTTTGAAAACGACCAGAACGTTTTGTTTTCAGAATAAACAGTTCGCCATGGAAATCCACCCTTAGTACTTGAAGGTCATGAGGCTTTTAAACTCATTCACTATCCTGAAGTCACAGAGCCGCACATTTACCTATAAGTCACAACAAGAACAGACAGCCTCGCAGAATATTTTAAATTTACTGACCAACTGCTTATTTGTTCATGGGGCTGCATGGTCTGGAGGCATTGCGTCCGCCCCAAGTGCTAGAGGTTCCGGGTTCAATCCCGGTAAGATCTATGATTTTGTCACTAGGACTTGGACTACTAGTAATTCCTCCTGTTTTCTGGGTAGTGAGATCAGACGCCCGTGTGCATTGTTGCGCACGTAAACAATTCCTTGGCAGTTGGAAATCGAAAAGAGTAGCCTAACGGCACAGCCCGGGCAAGATTTGGAGTTAAAAATCTACCCAAAGTATTTCAGGATCCTCTGCCGGTGTACAGAGCCCATGAACCGTGCTGAGCGTCTTCTGATTTAGACTTGAGTTAGAAGAAGAACGGAACACTTATGGGTTACTACCCGTGTGCCATGATGTTGATCCGTGGTTCAAACCTCTAACCTGCTAATTTGTTCCTGTCCAAGTCCAGCAATGGACACTTATGGTGCAGTAAACAATGAAATACGGATCGGATCTCATGATCGATCTCGAGTTATGACAGTAATGACAGTAGGCAACTTTTGTATCGCACGTTAAAAGATAATAATACTGGTCTCGTATAATTTTCCCCCATGACAAAACTGTACTATACTTTCCGATAGATCTCATGAGAGAGACAACGACGTTTAAAAAAAAAATCTGAACGTATGTAAGGATAAAACAAAATAATTCTCTTTTAATTACTAAGAAGAGAGCAAGTTAATTTGTTCTTGGCTGCCGTGGGTACAAATGCAGGCAGTGTTTAATTGTCATTACGCCCCCCCCCCCCACCCACCACCCGCCCTTTGTTTGTAGTCAGAGGAGAAGGGGACAGTACTTGAACCAAAAATAATATCACGAATACATTGTTTGAGGCCATTACTTTCTTGGTCTAGTGCCAGTTAAGTCTACCGAGAACACCAGCAACTGCCTAACAAAACTGTATTAAATAACTCAAGGTATATTTTTATAGTGCAGTCAGTCACATTTTTAATGAAAGAACATATGGCGACGATGACTGTCACTTCCAGAACTGTACTGAAGAGGTCTGGACAGCTAATCCATAGTTTTGATGTGAGAGCTTCACACATGGCAATGTCAGTTTTTTAAAAAAGCTTTTTCTAATTTGCATGTTGTATGAAGGTTTCTCTTGCAAGATACCCTTTCTTAATACCTTTTTAATTTATCTCTCTGAGATTCATTGCTCAGCAGATGCCAAACTAAATTCAGCTTTTTTTCTGTCCACTAAATCTAAGGGGCTTAAAAACAGCTGTTTTGTTTAGGTTTTAGACCGATATGGCTGAGCTATCGTATAACCACAGTCGGTAATTCTGTCTCTGTTAACGCCGAATGTTGGGCTGTACATACCAAACTGACACTCTGCTGGTACCAACAGCTTGAGGAGGAAGAGCACATTAAGGAACAGACTAGCCCAACTTACCCTAGGACGAGGAATACAACCTGAAAACAATGTTATGGCAGGGCAGACACATCCCGTAGCCATTGCTAGCATCTGGTCCAGGAGGAAAGCTCTGACATATGGACAAACAGAGCACTGTTGTTCTGATCCGGCAGCTTCTACAGCGCTCCTTGCTTCAAAAGTGTTAGTTTTACCTTTGGAGTAAATAAGACAGGCCGAGTGAAGCATCATTCTGCAGCTCAATGTCTCTACAGTAATACTTTAGCTCTGCGCTATAGAGAGGAGAAACTTTATCTATGGTTTTAATAAGCTGTGATTTCTATAGGAACATCTTTAAATTAAAAAGTAAAGGACTCTTTTCCATACTTTTAGGTGTATAGGGCATATAAGGCTAGACCTAACAGACCTATATGCACAAAATTGGTAATATGGTCAGCACCCTTCCCCACCTTAATAAATTATAAGAAGAAAAACTCCACAGGGAGCATGCACATCAGGGGTCCACTGTTCATACTTGGAAAGATCCCTCGTCGACAATTGTTTTTGGCCCATCACTTCCTAGACAATCTCGGAAGGTGGGCCGACTAGGGTACTGACTCCAGGCCAGGATCTTTCTCTGCTGCACTTTATCGGACTCTCGGGCAGGGACAAGACGATATGGCGACAATGCAACAGATATTGTGAGATTTCGATGTTATATTTGTCGCTTCGGTAGCAAATTAGCGGCCTACCTTCACGACCAGAGTGACAAGCTTACGGCTTGATTATCGAACAAGTGTTAGAGAATGGCATTTGGCAAAAAGGCTTTATAACACCATCGCCTGGAAAGACGAAAAGGTGTTAACGAAAGATTTAGATCCCAATTCTGTGTCGAGTTCTCAACTTTCCCCACTGACTTTTGAAGTGAATAACGTTTAAATTAATGATAATGAAAAGGATACGCCTGACTGATTTGCAATTTGTCGTCTTTGTTGATATTAAGAATAAAGCAGCTACTAAGGATTGAATGTAATACACTACACTGAAGCAGGCACAAATGGTTTATTTAAATGCTCTCTCTCTCTTTCTTCCTCTGTGTGTGTGTGTGTGTGTGTGTGTTTCTGTGTGTGTGCTGCTGCTTTTTTTAAATTCTGGAAGTGGTTGACAAAGGTCTAAAATGGCCGGAGATGCCGAAAGCATGTTTAATACAATGTCCCCCTCTTAGACTGAACAAAATGAAGTGTTGAAAGGCCTAGCGGCACGACTGCTCCAGGTCCCACAGGTGTTCCCTATGTGGTGTATAAACGCTGTTCGAAAGGCTTCAAAAACCTCCACTGCTTGCTATGGCTCGCGTGGAGCCAAAGGTGCATATGAATGAACTGGTTAAAAGGCCAAAGGAATCTACATTCTCAAGGAGCGTGACCCCACTGATCTCTCTCTCAATTCAGGCTGATCTCTCTTTTAAACGCTGAGGGCAAACTATGCTCCCCGATCGTGGCACACAAAGTACATGATGCATAACAAGTATATAGACAAGTGGTCCAGAAAGGTTGTATTCCTGACGTTCCCCGGATGCCTCGAGCATGCGTCTGTGATTTGGGAGAGTATTCATAAGAAAAAGGTAGAGAAGAAAGAGGTGCGCATGATTTGGCTAGACCTCGCCAACGCTTATGCGTCTGTACCTCATCAACTTTCATGGAAGGCATTTCACATGTTTCCATTTCCGCCAGAGACCATCTGAGATGACAGAGCAGTAATTTTCTAAATTCGCCTCCATGTTCACTGTGAAATGGACCCACCTCCATATGGGATAGCAATGTGGTGTATTATTTCTATGTCGGGAGATGTAAACCAGCGTTATTGCACACGGTTATAAACCATAAGTGCCCTGCCACCAGCACGGACAGCTGATAAGAAACTATCCCACTGGTTCGCCGTCCGCACGTAACTCCGTAGCTACAGCGACGTTCCCCAATTACCTCAAAGCGTAAATTAACTCTGGCACCCATTTCCTAGAGGCTGGGTGAACCCCCGGAACCGCCCGGTTTCGAACACCGACCGTGGCTGGATTTGAAAGTCAGTCTCGTATCGACTACGCTAGCGCGCGCACCTCCCTCCCCATTTTGTTAGGGCTATATAGGTCGTTTCAGATGCGGCTGCCGGCCAGGAGTGGTTTACAAATGGAGGCATAACAAAGTCTTTAAAGAGTTGGCCGACATTGTGGACAAAGCTAGGATAAGGGTTAAAGCAAGGATAAGTCTTAGCATTTTTACCCTCCCCCCCCCGCTCCCACTCTCGCACCCCCACTCCAGCCCCCACTCTCGCACCCTACCACCGCCATGCGCTTCCTCAAGGCCTGGCAGAGATCTAACGTTAAGCTCCACAAAGTTGCGTACGTTCTATCTATCCTCAACCTTACTGGACTAGCAGCTGGCGGTAGAATTAAGTAGCTTTGACAAGTACCTGGAAGGCTGGGCAGAGGCCAGTTATAGTGTTGCACTCTGCGACAGAGCGTCAGCTCAGACTGGTAGATCTGAGCGTGCTGTATGAGTCGCAAATCGAAGATCAACACCCTTACACGGTCGAGAAGTACGGTGATCTGGTAGCTAGTCTGAGGAGTGATGAAGAGTACACATTAAATCTCTTTCCCTTGGGGGGGGGGGGGGGGTGTTCAGTAGTTTCGAGGTATGGTGTCCTAGTGCTAGAGTTCCCGGATTCAAGCCCCGGAGAAGGCTGGAATTGTTTTCCCGTAGATATCTAGTAATTTTCCCTGGTCTCTGGGTAGTAAGATCAGACGCCTGTGTGTATTCTTGCGCACATAAAACCTCCAGTTGGAAATCGAAAAGAGTAGCCTAACTGGACTGCCCGGGTAAAATGTGGATTGACAAATATACCCAAAGTATTCAGGATCCCCCACAGTGCAGCGGAGTTCATGCGTTGTTCTGAGAGGCTTGAGTTAGAATTAGAACTGAGCAGTTATGGGTTACATCTGTGTGCTATAATGTTGATCCAGCAAATAAATAAACTCTTTCCAGTCGAGGTGAGCTCAAGAGGC